GCGGTTCCCTCGGCGTCCTCGAGACATAGGAACCTTGTGGAACTGCTCTAAACTGCACGTTTCCTGGCCCACCAGAATCTGCGGGGGGGGGGCGCGCCGTGTCCGACCAACCGGGGCCTTCTTCCGACGTGCTCGACTCCTCCTTCGTCAAGTTCCCCTTACCAAAAGTGAGCCAAGTCTCAACCTCCCCCAAACTCACAAAAATCTGCCCCGGCGAAACAACGGCAATACTCCAGTTGTCCACTTGAAGCAGCACAAGAGCGACCAGGCGACCCATCTCTCTCTGCGCGACCCAGCGGCTCTGGCTCGGTTCGCACGAACCGGTGACTCTCTAGAAACCTAGCAGACATCTCACGGAACGCCAGGGGCGCACCATCAAGCCCGCGAACGGGGGCGACGAGCTCAAAAAGAGCTCCTGCCCGGCAGTTGAGCCCTTCGGATGGCTCGCCGAACACTCGGCCCCGGGGTCTCTCGAGAGGACCAGACCAACAGAACAAAATTCTCGATGTCCCGGGATCACCAAAAACACCACGAGGGCCTCCACAGATGGGGTCGGGGCGTAAACTTGAAGCTCCGCGGCCCCCTCGCCTCGCCGCCCCCGAATGCACCACCTCGGCTTGGCTTTGGGGGGCGCCGACGCCGCCCTGGTTTCCAGCGTCTGACTGTTCTGCTATGGACGATCCGATCTGGGAGAAGCCTCAGCAATTGGGACCTCCTTGGGACCGTGGACCTGGACCCACATTGGCGGCAGCGATTCCCCCCGCCCCTTGGAGTCGCAGGCAGAGAACTCCCTCCCCTCTCCGGACGAGACTCCGCAAGACGCGCCTCGCAGACCTCTCGGCAACGAGCGACAGAGAGAAGCCGTCGGACCCCGCTGGAACGCGCTCGCAATTCGCATTCCCTCTGCGGCGCTGAACCCAAGTCCCGCCCCAGCCACCCCCTCCCAACGCGAGCACCGCGCACGGAGATGGCTCGGGCGCGTCCGCCAAGACCCTGTTAGTCTGACTCGGGAGGCGGGGGGGGCCTGGACCTGACGTTCCTCCAGCGTTCGTCCACGCCCCAAATTTGGACCCTTACTCGGCGGGGGGGGCCCACGAAAGCCCCCCCTCTCGCAACTGAGCCCCTGAGCCCAGCCCGACGCATTCCTATGTCCAGGCCAAGGCCGCGCCGCCCATGAAGCTGGGCCTATTCGACCCCCTATTACTAAATGCAGCCCCATCTGGGACATGTTCGGCGCTGCAATTGGCGCCTGACCGGGGCCCAGACGCACGCGGCGTCGGCCCGGCCCCCAGCCGGCCCGCCCCCGACGCAAAGCCCTCGACAGAATCTCGACTCCAGCCTCCTCGGAGACCAGCTGGGTGCACTCGCGAGGCCGGGGCCCTTCCCCTCGCCCCCGCCCCCCACCCACGCTGTCTTGCCTGGAACGAGACTGAGCAACCGAGAGGGGAAGCGCCCAGGAGTCGCCGCCCGGAATGGAGGCCGATGGAGCGATAGCCTGGCGCCCTCTGGCATCGGCGGCAGCCCAGGGGGAGGCATGGGACGCCCCGCGCTTCCATCTGGACCCCTGGAAGACGGCGGGGGAGAAACCACGGGGGGCGGAATGACGGGAGAGGGGTCGACCACGACGCCGCGGCCCAGCCCCCAAGCCTCCCGTGGCGGGGGGCCCTCGGCAGCGACGTTGATTTCCGCTCCCGCGCGCCCCGACCGAGCGTCTCGCGAGAGCTCCCAGACCGCGGGGTCCGACATGACCCTGGCCCCTCGAGCCTCGGGGGAGGTGGCAAGTCCCACTTGCTCGGACGAACATTTCCAAAGCCTGGCCCTCATAGCCGCGCACGCGGCCCCTCCGGATTGCGGAAGACCAGTCGAGGTCCCACCCAAAGATCGCGCTGCAAGGCGTAGGTTTCCATTCCGGAGTTCGGGGCCCTCCTCCACGCGAACACCCACTGGCTTGGGTAGACCTCAGCATCTCGATGCACGTTGGCCTCGTTGCTCGCTTCCGCGAGCTTCCGCTTGCTAGAGGGCCTAAGTAGCTCTAGTCTCGCCGAGTCCCTGATGGCGCGCTGCCGAGCGAAGTCGGCTGCAGCCGCGTCTTGATCCCACGCCGTTTGGACCACATCGCCGGACGCCCCCCCCTGGCGCTCACTATCGTCTGAAAACATGTCGTTCGGCAGTCTGGGATTGACTCCGCGCGCCAGTTGGAAGGGCGCGCACCCCCCCTCTGCGAGGGTAGCGGTTCTTCGCCACCACAACCGTGGAAAATAGACCCTCAAGCTCGATCCTGGAAGCAACCGCGGAACTCTCGGAGGCCCTCAGCAGCATCTGTCTGACCCAACCCGCGTGACTTTCAACCCGCCCGGTCCCCCATGGGCTCTCCGCGTCAACGACGTGCTCAAAGGTCCCCAAATGCCAGCTTTTCCGATCGCAATGCCCCTGGAACTCGGGCCCTCCATCCGAAGGAAGCATCTCCGGGGCCCCAAAATTACAAGCCCACAACCTCCGGAAGGCTTTCCATGCTCCTTCGGAGGTCCCAAGCACTTCCGCTAAGATTGGCGCCGTGACAAGTGGAACTCAAAACGGTGATGGGACCCCTGTCGAAAGGAAAGAAAAACGCGTCCACCGCACTCACCCGATTATACGGATGCATCGGAATGTTCTCGGAATTGCGACTGACCCGCGCCCCGGCAGCCCGCGCACGCACAAACGTGCCGAACGTGCCGGACGACCTCGGGACGAGCGCGAGCCACTCCCATAACCTTCAGAAACACATGTTTCGGGGGCACCCAAGGTTCACATGGACCACGCGAATGAATGGCTTCATGGGGGCCGTAATCTCCAGCTCGCGCTGCCCATGGTTGTCTGCAGGCTCGGCCTGTCCATCTCCTTCCACCTCTTCCGCAGCTTCGCCGGCACCCTCGGGGAAAGCGTCGACCCCATCTCGGCGCGCCCCCAAATCCTGTTGACCTGTCTCGGCCAGCTCCGACATTGCGGGGCAATTCTCTCACCCCTGGACCCCGCGCAGCATGGCGCCCGCGAAGGCCTGGCGAAGCTTTGGGGGGCGGGGCCTGAGACGCGCGGCAACGCGGCCCCCCCTCCAGGCGTCGGCGGGCCCGATCCCCATTACAACGCTTCCCGGCTATCTCTCCACGAAGAGGAGGGCCATTAGTCATTGCGCTGGTTGGCCTTCGAGGGAGGGCCCCCCTGACCGCCGAGAGTCCGGAAACGAACTGATATACGACGACCCCTTGGACACCCAGAAATGCGCGCATCATGATAACGACGTTTGGATGTTCGGAGGCAGAGCGCCCGCCCCCGTGGCCCCGCTGCAAGGCGATCCTCACACTGAAAGGCAAGAGGGCGAGAGCATCCACCTTTTCTATTTTGGACCTCGAGGGGCCCCAGGGCTGCCCCCATGAAGAGACTGCGACTTGCGCTGAACTCAATGCAGGGGGGCCCCAGCAGGACCATCCAAGGCTTCTCGCCCCAAATCAAATGAATGGCTCTGTCTCGATGACTTTCGTCACAGAAATCCCAGTCGGCAACATGGCCGAGGCCCCCAAGAGCGCGCGAGACCGCCCCCTCAAAGAGCGGGGCCACCCGAGACGGGAGAGATCTCCACGGAAGAGCGATACCCGTAGCCAGCCTCAGATCTGCGGTCGCTGCGAAGCCCTTGGAGCTGTCTCCTCTCGTTTTGGGCCAGACAAACCTCGCGGCCGTCGTTAGTTGCACCCCCACGGACGGCCCCCCTTCCGAAGCTGGAACCCGGAATTCGCACTCGCCACCCTGGCCCTGGACCCCGGCGGCGCCCCCATCATCGCGAGCGAATCCAGAGTCGGGCGACGGGAACATTCCTGGAAGAAAACTCGGGTGGTCTCGCCTCAATGGCAAGTACGTTTCCTGATCCATGGCTCCTCCCGGCTCGCGACTAGCTGCCCCAGTGGCGGGTCTGCCTGCCGTCCTTCGACAAGGCCCTCACCTGCCCCGCCCCCTGCATCTCCTTCGCCTCCTCGTTGTCTGGGCTGGTTATCACTAGATTCTCTCTCTCTCTCTCTCTCATTCTCTCTCTCTCTCTCTCTCTCTATCTCTCTCTCTCTCTCTCTCTCTCTATTCTCTCTCTCTCTCTCTCTCTCTCTCTCTCTCTCTCTCTCTCTCTCTCTCTCTCTCTCTCTCTCTCTCCGGCTGCCTCCTGGCCTCCTGCGCCGACGCGCGCCCCAGGGCGTCCTGGCCGGCGCGCCCCCTCGCAGCACGGCCCAGGCGCGGTCGGCGGCGCGGGGGGGTCCGTCGGGGGGTGGGGGCAGCTCGAGTCCGGCACCGGCGATCTCGCCACCCCCGCCGGCAGGTTGTGGGCATCGAAGATCGCGTCGGGGCATCGCGGCGGCGGCTGCTTGGGCCAGGTCGGCTCGGCCGCAATTTGGAAGCTGGGGCACCCCCCTAGCGCCAGAGGCGAAGCTGCCGAGGGTGCCCCAGCGCTGTCTGCCACCTGGGCACACAAGGCAGTCCGCGACGCCTCACTGCCGGCGGCAGGCTGCCCTCATCGAGGGGGGCCGCCCCGAAGTAGGCCCACTGCGACGGCGAGGCTCCAGGTGGGGGCCCCGCCGCCACCAGCGGAGGCGCCCGGGGCCTCGGCTCCGTCTCAGCCACTGGCCGGGCGACGAATGAGCCCCCCGCTGCGACGCCGGCGTCGTCGAAGCCCGCGGCGAGGAGTCCTCGACCTTGACGGCGGAGGCGACTGCAGCGATCTCGATCCCGTTCGGGCCCGTCTTGCTGCTCGCGTCGCGCTGCGTCATCGCCCTCGCCGAGCGACTCGCCTCCTGGGCCTGGCTGAATAGTGGCGAACGCCGTCATCCGCCTTTTTGGCCGCGCATGCCACACCGGCAAGACCCTGTTCCAGGTCGGCCCGGGCTGCGACCACCCCCTGGATCATCTCCTTGATCTCGGAGAACTGCTTCTCCATCGAGTCCTTCAGCACTGCCTCGGCCCCCCCTTTGATCGGAGAGGTCCACGGGCTCTACGTCGCTCTCCTGCTGGCCCTTGATCGACCGCGCCCGCCTGGAAGCCGCCGCCGCCGCTGCTCTCCACTCGCCCTGGTCTTTGTGGAGATCCTGCAGCGCCAGCTCCGCCCCGTCCGCGACCCCCTGGTAGCCCGCGGGGGAAGCGGCGTGGCCCGGCACGAAGCCCGGCGCGCCGGGGCGGATGGGCATCGGCGCTCTCGTCGATCCTGGAGGAGGCTAGGGCGCGCACGCCACGGCCTGCCACTGAGTCCGCCCCGGCCCGCGACCATCCCTGACCGCGCAGCGCGCCGGCCGCATCCTTCCTTTTGCACAAGCACATCTTCTCGTCCTTGGGCGCCCCCCTTGGAAGGCTTCAGCTCGCAGCAGGGGGCCCGCGCGCTGCACCCGCTGCGCGCGAACCATGCCCCTTCGGATGGCTGGTGGGCCAGAAGCGCTCGACGCGGCACGCCGCGGCGAACTCCCTGGCCATCTTGGCGGCCCAGCAGAGGGCGAAGCCCGCGAGGCACGCCCACCACTTTTCGGCTCTCGTCAGACTCTCTAGCCCGTTGGTGCCGCAAGCCCCATGCATCCATGCCTAGTCCTTCTTCATGCGATCCGCCATCGAGCTGGGCCACCCCCGCGGCCCGCGCCGGCCGCGCCCCCCCCCCCCCCCGCGCGAGAGGAGCAGGCCGAGGGCGAAGCCGCATGTGGCATTCTAGCGAGTCTCAAACGTCCGACGTCGCAACTGGATTCGAATTGCTGCGAGCTCAATCCGTCGAGCCCCAGCGCCGAGGATTCCGAAAGTGAATCCAAAACAGGCGCGGTCCTCGATGGCCACTGTCAGCGCAGCCGCCACGCGGCGCCCGAATCGCGCGCAAGACCGGGCGTCCCGGGCGGGCGCGACATCCCCTTCGCGGCGCGGGAGGCGCCGCTGGACCCCTTTTTCCTTAGCTGTCCTCGCGCGGAGAAGCGGCCCTTCAAAGCCGCCAAGGCCCCATATAGAGGGCCCCTCAAAGCCGCCAGCCCGCAGGCAAGCTCCACGGGGCCATGCTTCGCCCGGGAGCTGGCCCAGCGAAACCCTTCTTGAATCCTGGGGGGTCAACCGCGCGAGAGCGCACGGGGCCCCATGGCGGGACCTGCCGGGCCCATCAGACTCCCCCGGCAGTTCAAGAAGCCCGCCCCACTCAGGCACTGCGACAGGCAAGACGAACGCGATAGGACGACGCCCTTCGCCTCGACAGAAAAGGCGCCCCCATGCAAATGAGTGGACGACCGAGACGCAGACTCCTGAACTAGACGGTCTCAAGATGGCACTGGTCCGTTCCGCTGAGAGGAGGCGCGGCATTGGAGCGGCGACCCCACGCCTGGCGAACATCGCGGCCCGGCTTGGAAGGTCCACTACGCCACCCAACATCTCCAGAAAAAAACAATGGGTAGGAGAGGAGGGGCGCCCTGACTCAGGACGTCGAACTCCAGGGCCCCAGTGCGACCGTCGATGCGGGGCAGGAAAAAAGCCGCCTTCAAAGCTGAGACCCTGCCCCCGACTCCTCGAGCGGCGGCGCCGCGAGGAGGGGGCCTCGGAATCGCGCGCCCCTTCGACGCCCAACGCTGCTCGAGCAGCTCCAAGGCCGACATCCCCAGAAGACCTCGCCCGGCGGCGGCGCCCGCCACCATCGCCCCCGGGCCGACGGCAAGCATAACTACTGCATATACCAGAGGGGCGGGTCACGAAACCTAGAGAAATTCTGCCCGTCTACAGCATTCACGCACGGAAAATTCAGGGATGGACAGACCCCCTCAACTAAAACGCGGTTTAGTGAAAACCGCATGAGGCCCAAACCTGGCGGGCGCATGCCTGGAAAATAGCGGCCACGGCGCCCTCTCGAGAACCGACAACTGACAATCCACGCATCGACGCGTCACTGTTGGGGGTTCTGTCCGCCCCCCAAAAAATCAGGCGGCGAGGCCAGCCCCCCCATCGCATCCTGCGCGCCGGAACCCTGGGCGGGCCCCCGCGGGCGCTTGCGGGGCCGGCGCCCTTCTGGTGGCAAATCTTTCGGGCGAAAGGCGCCGCCCGCCGCCCCGCGGCCAGACTCGGGGCCCTTTGTCGCGCCCATCAGCACCGCGAGCAGCGCCAGACCGATCGCGCAACTTCCTGTCAAACTTGAGCTGTCTCTTCAGATCACGATTCTGCTTCCACGTCTTGCGACGACCCTGATTGAAAGCGGCCAGGGCGGCCTGACCGTCGTCTCCACCGATGTCGGCCGACTCCAGAGTCGCCCGCGCCTGCGTCTGTCCAGCGGCGTCCAGCGATGAGACGTCGGAATAGTCTACCACGGACACATCGTCGCCGTCGACCTGCCACGTAGGGGCCGCTCGCGCCAGGGGGGCGCCTTCCGCGGACCCACCAGGACATTGCGGCGCGCGCCCTGCCATGGATCCGCAAACGTTCCTGGCGAGCGGCGCCCACGTCTCGGATGGCCGGGAAGATTGCCGCATACGTCTGCCAGTCCTTCACGAGAACCTTCACTATCTGCGAAGACACACCACCGCGACGAAACAGTTTTACAATCTGCGTTCGACACTAGCGAATCCGCGCGGAATACTTCACCTCTGAATGGAGATCCTGCAACTACACCGCGCGCGGGCGCATCCCGCTTGATAATCCATCAGGTTTGGCGCGGAGTAGCTTCCGACCCGCGCGGGGGGCAACAGAACTAGAAGCATCAGGCGGATCGGAAACTACTCCGCCGAATGACGCAGTCATCATGTCATGTCAACGTTTAGAAAATTGGAAACATCATCATCATGCTATATTGATGAGGAACTTGTGCCACGGCTGTGTATCTCGCCCATCGGCACTCCCCCTTGCAAGAGCAGAAGCTTGATAGCGAGGCCCTGCGTGGCCACCTTGCCGAAGCTGGGGTCGACTCTCGCGCAGTATTCGGTGTGGTTATCACCCTGCTTGCGAATGTAGCCCACCACATACTCTCTGGCAAACTTCCATCTCTCGCCACCGTGCCTCTCGTCCGCCAGGAGGTCCGAGCGGGCGATAATCTCGTCGATACCTCGCGATCCAGTCAGCGCGTCGTCGTCGATATCTTTCAACTTCCGCTGTTGATCTTGATCGAGAGCTCGAAAGAAACGGTCTGCCTGCTTCCACTTGGGCACGTCCGTCCGGGTGCGCCATCTGAGCACCTTGCGGCGCCACATGCGATATTCTGCCCAACCTCTCCATTTTTCTGAATCCGCAAAGTCTTTATCACCTAAACGGTCCCGATCAGATACGTGATGCGCATGTAAACGCATGCTTGAAAATGTCATTGAACCGGGCGTTGCGGATGCGATAAACAATGAAATTGGATGCGCCATGGCGGCTGTAGATAGAATGCAACACGACCTGGGGACAATCACACAGGACAATATCATGACAAATCTGTCGCTTCTACAAACCATGGGCCACAGGGGCCCCGAACATCTGAAAAGTAGCGATGATCGAAATGACATTCGAGCTTCTTCTGCTTCTGAATCGGGGCGTTCCAGGTCAACCCCGGACTCCATGAACTGGCGGGCTCGGGCCATTCGTGTCCGCGTTGGTCACTCTGCTGCCATTCGTGCATGATGCTCCAAGCCGTCGCAGGCGTCCAAGATGCCGTTGATGGCATCCTTGAGGCGCGCCCGTAGTCGTAGCACTCCCCCTCGGTCGTGCCTGCTCCACTCCAAGTGCATCCCTGCCATCACTGCGACCAGCCTTGGAGCGCCTCGGCCCAGGACCCTCGCGCGTCAGAACCGAGACCTGCCTGCTCCGGCCTGCGCCGTCGAATTTCCAGCGCGATTCTCCAAGGGCTGGACTCCGCTGGTCCCCTTCGGGAGCCTGTGCACTGGGTACGACCGTCGAGCTCCGTTAAGAACTCCTCGTCGTCTCGCAACTGTGTAGCACTGAGGATATCTCGTGCCAATTTCTCGGCGTCGTCCTCGGAAATTGCAAGACCCTCCTGCTGTTTCAGAACTGTTGCCACCGAGCTCACCGAAGATCGACTTCCCTCTGATGCTGGTGGTGGCCTTCGATTATCATCTACTCCCGCCGCTGCCGCCATTTGTCCATAGAGTAGTGCTGCTCACAGCTCCGCTACCACTGTTGCCCCTCGGGCGACAGCGATGAGAATAAATGCCTCGAAAACCGGTTTGCCACCAGCCAGCACCCTCGCAATCCAGTAAAATGAACTCAGCCACCAATATACGTATATATGTATACATACATACATACATACATACATACATGCATGCATGCATGCATGCATGCATGCATACATGCATGCATGCATGCATACATGCATGCATGCATACATACATACATACATACATACATACATACATACATACATACATACACACATACATATATACATACATACATACATACATACATACACACACATACATACATACATACATGCATGCATGCATGCATACATACATGCATGCATACATACATACATACATACATACATACATACATACATACATACATACATACATACATACATACATACATACATACATACATACATACATTACATACATACACACATACATACATACATAAACACATACATACATATCCAACAAGGGAAAAGTAGAAGGGAAAAGGAATAGGGAAATAGGAATTGGGAAACTATGTGGGTTTTGAGCCAAGATGGTCAAGACCCTGTTCTTCTGGCCTTCAAGCTCAGGGAGTCTAGTGAGATGTCCATCGGGTCTTGAACACACAAACGCACCTAGACTCGAATCTCGCAGGTGCAGCAGCGAGGGCAGGCAAGGAGGCGAAACGAAACACCTCACGAGCATGGGGAGACCGAACTCCGATGCCCAATTCCTGCCCGCCCCCTCCACAGGGAAAAGGGCACGCGCCAAGCAGAGACATCAGCGTCTGTCCCGAGGAAGAGACTGCACGCTGGCGCGGCCCACGGGCGCCCCCAGGCGAACGTGCCGCTGATGCTCCCTCACAGGGCGAACGAACGAGCGAACGAGTCTGCCGTCGCCCCAAGGCGACCCTACAAGGGCGGCAGGCGCGCCAAACGCGCTGGCCTCCGGGAAGGCCAGGGATCAGGTGTGAAGCGTCGAAGACGATGTATATACATATAAACGAATCAGCGCCACATGCTTTGTGAGCGTAATCGCCTTCAAAATGTTGCCGAGTCTCGGGTACGTTTGCCGTGTCGTTCCAAAAATCTCATCCTCGCCATCGCTCGGACGTCCATTCCCTGTGCTTCTGTTTTCGGCTTCGTGCGCGGCTTTTTCCGCCAGATGATCCAGGATGCTCCTCGATGGTCCCCGCCGAAGGAAACATGCACACGTCCGAGCTGACTACCTACCAGACCACCCCAACCCAACCCGAAGACCCGAATTTCGGGTTCGGGGGGGTACGGGTTCCATATGTGTTTTCTCGATGTTCCCCGACCCCCCCCCACTGGAAATGGAGGTCAATTTGAGGCCTTCGGGTTGGGTTGGGGTGGTTTGGTGGGTGGTGACGAGCGATGCCGAGCACCCCACAGGGGGGGGACGGACCAGGACAGAGGTGGCAGGCCCCGGGCCACGGCTGCGGCGAGGGGCCGAGGCCACAGAGCGGCCCCGACGCGCAGAGAGCGGCAGAGGGCCGGAGCGGCAGGCAGGCCCGGGGGTCGCGCACGCGTGCAGGCGAGGCAGCCGCTCCACCTCGCAGCAGGAGGACAAGCCAAGGTGATCGGCGGACCTGCGAGGAGCGGGTCTGATGGTACGGTGCGCGCTGGGAACCGCCGATCCCCCGGCGCCCCTCCCCATCCACCGCCACCTGAACCCCTGCCAGGCGCCAGACAATCCTCGAGGATCGAAACCTCAAACATCTTCACTGGGATGCAAGACGCCTTCGAGACGTATGATGTCGCGCACCCGAGCCCCGCATGCCCGACGCGCCCAGCCGCGAACATGTTCCTGACAGGCTGTCGCGTGGCACCCAGATAATAGACGATCTTTCAGGATGACTGCGGGAGATCACGGTGCACAAGGATGGAGAGCGCCTCGCCACCCTCTGGGTTGCGGCACGGGACGGGGCCACTGGGTTGGGCTTTCGCATACTTGGTGAAGCCTTCAATATGACAAGGAACAGATACGCAACCACAAGATCCGACCTGCATCCGAGATGCACGGAGGCACATTGCAGAGCGAGAGAAAGAGAGAGAGACGCCCCGGGAAACCGCCTGGATGCAGGCTGGCACGAAACTGGATTCATCACTTGAGGCCCCCTGGGGGCCGAGGGATGCCATGGAAGAGAGGAGAGTGTAGAAGAAAGGGGCGAGGCGCACGCGCGCAACGATACAATGGATGGGGTGGGGGAGGCAGGAGGCAGGAGAGAGGACCCCTGGGGCCAGTTTCGCATTTGTGGGACGATCTTCGTCAGGCCTCGGACCCACTCCCTCGGGTGGAACAGCCTTGGCCGGCTGCAGTGTAGGCCAGACCACAAGAGACCTTCCACAAGAAACCCAACCCTACGACCCCAGGAAGTCCATTGATGTTTGGTGTGGGAACGTCACGCCTTCCACAGCAAAACCTCCGAAACCCAAGAAACCCAGGGCACCCTGGAGGCAAGAAGGGCGTTTCTTGGCATGGGCCTGCACTGTATTCGAGAGCAGAGCAGCCGCGGCAGCAGCAGGAGCCTCCCGGCGACGGCGACGACGAGGCGGGGGCGCGAGGACGGGCGGCGGGCGCGGCGCCTTACAGCCCAGGTCAGCGCGCCAGGGGCCGAGTGGCATGCCGAGGTGCTGGCGTCAGCCCATGACGCACGAAGGCGCTCCCACGGGGGCGCTCGTGGGCCTGATCCTCGACGACGAGACGACGACAGAGAACCACCCCTCCGCCGTCCTCCCCTAGGGCGACGAAATCTACACATATCCACTGCTCCCTGGCCAGGCAGATCCTGAACCCAGCAGCAGTGTATGCGCCACGCCCTCGTGGCTTGGCCAGGAGGGCGTATACAGCTCGGTTCAGGATGGGCCTGGCCAAGGAGCAGTGGATATGTAGATCCCACCAGCCCTCTGGGCGTAGGTGGTCTAGGGAGGCTCCTCTTCCAACCCCCTTCTTCCCCTTCGGGGAGGGGTTGTTCAACGTTCCCTGCTGATATACACCCCCACCCAGGCGACTGGCAGCCAACCAGGAACAATGAGGACACCATGAGGGCCATCCCCCAATCGCCCCTGCCCAAAGACAATACAAAACGCACTCTGCCTCCACATTTGGAACATGCGCGGCCAACCCGATGTGGCCATCCCCACCATCCCTGTCAAAAACAATACAAAGTACAATTTGGGGCAAAGTCTTGAGTCATGTTCGTGAGGCCCGCGAACACTTTGCATTGTTTGTTTGACAGGGACGGCGGGGGTGTCAGCATATCGCCTGCTGCGCGCAGGGCTACCATCGCTAGCAAAAAAATGCAAATGCACCTCGCGGCTAATCTGGATCATGCGCGGGAGTGAACTAGACGGCGTGCTGTCTAGAAGGGTATCTTGACCCCTCCCCCATGGCACTCCCCTGGACCTGGACGGGGCGACCCGCGAGGTGCCAGAGGGTACGGTTTCGCCCAAAACGGCTCCAAGAGGGCCTCAGAGAGACCAAGATGACCTCCAAAATGGCTCAAGATAGCCTAAGATGCCTCAGGATGGTTCCCAAGATGCTCCAGGAGGCCCCAAGAACGCTCCAGGTGGCTAAAGAGCTCCCCAGGGAGGCCCCGAAGAGGCCAAACTCCGTCCAAAACCTACGAAAATCAATGTGTTTTGCTTTTTCGCCGTTTCGCTTCCGATGGCCATCCGAGGCCTCAAGATGGCCCAAGATGGCCCAAGAGGGCCCAAGAGGGCCCGAAGGGAGGCTTAAGAGAGCCCCGAGACGGCCCCAAGAGCGCCCCGAGAGCGCCCCAAGAGGCGATGTTGGGAGCTCCCGAAGGGGGGGGGGAGGGGCTAATTGAAGCTTCCATCATTTTTGATCGATGTCCTCAAAGATGGGCCGAAGAGCGCACCCCAAGCTCCCAAGAGCGCCCAAAGAGGGCCCCGAGAGGCGCCCAGACGGCCCTAAGAGGCGCCCAAGAGGCTTCAAAGAGGCTCCCAAGAGACCCCCAAGAAGCCTCAAGAGGATCCCCGAGGCACCCAAGATGCTCAAAGACAGCCCTGGGC